CTCTCTCTCTCTCTCTCTCTCTCTCTCTCTCTCTCTCTCTCTCTCTCTCTCTCTCTCTCTCTCTCGCTCTCGCTCCCGTCCCCAAAGCACGACTAGAAAGAAGAAGTACAAAAACGAGAGGTGCACGCTGACACGGACCGGATTTGAAAGCGCGCCGAAACAGCATATACTCAGAAGAAAACTCTTCAGCGGTGAACGCGCTAAGGACGGGCAAGGGCAACACGGGAGGAAAGACAGAGCGGGAAGGAACAAGAAAGCCAGCACGTCGAGAGCGGAGGAGGGAGTGCAGAGTCCCCCAGACGAAAGAGTGAGACGTGCTCTGCGAGCTGGAGCACGTGACGCGCTAAATCGCTCAAAAGCGTTGTGGAGAGTTATGGAGAGAGTTATGGAGAGTTGTGGAGAGTTGTGGGGAGTTGGGGAAACAGGGAGGGGTTGGGAAGATCATGATAGAGCTGGGACAAAATGGGAAACACAGGGATGGAAAAGGACAGGAGAGAACAGAACGGGACGGAGCCAGAGAGAACACGACGCTCGAGGAGAAAACAAAGGGCATGGAGAAAAAACGAAGAATGGGAAGCTCGTCCGCAAGTATGTGGACAACGGGACCTGATGGGAAGATGGATGCCTCCAGGCAAAGAGAGAGGGAGAATGAAAAACCAGGTATACGAGAAGAGGAGAGAAACGAGTGGAGAACAGGGAGAGAGAGGCATAAAAGCAAATAATACGTTGGAACGAGAAGATAGGGAAAGTATAGAAGGAGAGGAGAGGGAGAGGACAAGGAGAGGAGAGGAGAGGAGAGGACGACGAGAGGAAGAAGAGAGGTACAGGAGGGAGGGAACAGGAGAAAGGAGAGGGGAGAGGAGAGGAGAGAGAAGAGAGGAGAGAGGAGAGAGGAGAGAGGAGAGGAGAGGAGAGAGGAGAGGGAGTGAGAGGAGGGAGAGGAGAGGGAGAGGAGTGGGAAAGGAGAGGGAGAGGAGAGGGAAAGAAGTTGGAAAGGAGAGGGAGAGGAGAGGGAGAGGAGGGAGGGAGAGGGAGAGGAGAGGGAGAGGAGGGCGGAGAGAAAGGGAGATGAATGGAGAAAAGAGAAAGGAAAAGGAGAAAGGGAGAGGAGAGAGAAAGAAGAGGAGAGGGAGGAGAGAGGGAAAGGAGAAAGGAAGAGGCGAGAGAAACGAGAGGGAGAGGAGAGAAGGCAGAGGAGAGAAGGCAGAGGAGAGAAGGCAGAGGAGAGAAGGGAGAGGAGGACAGAGCGGGTGAGATGAAAGTTATCGATAGAGCAGGAGAGACCACGAAAGACGAAAGCAAACACTGCCGGCGGAAACGCAGGGTGATTCGCATCTGAGCTTTGCAGGATAATAACACATTTTTTCCGGGCTCTTCTTCGCGCATGACCTCAATTTTTTCCGGGCTCTTGTTCGTGCTGCAGACCGCATGATAACAACTGCTAGCAGCACGATCTTACCACCGGCGAGAGTACGAACCCAAATAATGCCACACGTCACTGCCACCGCTGCGGAGGGAAGAGGGAGAGAAGGCGGAAGATGGATGACACAACGGGCGCACCTGGTCGCCATTCCAGTCTGATTCCGTCGCCAAGAAGCATTGCAGTCAATTCTATTCATAGAGATTCCCACCCCGCATTAATGCCATCTACCTACCTACCTCTTTTAAGCCACTGCTCAATCACGACGACACCCGACAGGCTCTTCCACTGACGGCCCTCTGCGATTTCCCGCCATTCTATACCGAACCCCATAGATTTCCCGCCATTCTCCAACAGAACTCATAGATTTCCCGCCATTCTCCAACAGACCTCATAGATTTCCCGCCATTCTCCAACAGACCTCATAGATTTCCCGCCATTCTCCAACAGACCTCATAGATTTCCCGCCCGCCATTCTCCAACAGACCTCATAGATTTCCCGCCCGCCATTCTCCAACAGACCTCATAGATTTCCCGCCCGTCATTCTCCAACAAACCTTATAGATTTCCCGCCCGCCATTCTCCAACAGCCCATATAGATTTCCCGCCATTCTCCAACAGACCTCATAGATTTCCCGCCAATCTCCAACAGACCTCATAGATTTCCCGCCAATCTCCAACAGACCTCATAGATTTCCCGTCTTTTTTAAGCAGAACCCATAGATTTCCCGCCTTTTTTAAGCCAACCCCATAGATTTCCCGGCATTCTCTAACAGACCCATAGATCTCCCACCAGTCAATCTAGATTTCCCGCCATTCTCTAACAGACCCATAGATCTCCCACCAGTCTATCATTCGTCAGCGAAGAGCAAGACGGCCACACCGCAGCAATGTCGTGCCACGTGAGCGCTGATGCCACGAGTGCAGGAACGACGCGAGAATGCTATCTCCCACCAGTCGATCATTCCGCCTATCTTCGTGAGCAAACTCATATGCTATCTTCGGAAGCAACTAACATGGTAGGTAGGCGTGAAGCAATGGAAGAATTGGCTATGGGCGTATTTGTGGTCAGCCTATCTTCACAAACCCGACTCTAGTATCTGTCCACGTTCACACTTTCCGCCTCTATCTACCTGCCTATCTACCTGCCTACCTACCTACCTTTCTCTGTCCTTGTGTCCACGTCGGATTCCCACAGTTACCCATCCATCGATTCATCCACGTGCTAGAAATGCACACAGCACACCAATTCACATGGCCGTTTATGAGCGTGGCAGTACTGCGCAGCAATTCACAGTACTATGAAGCGTGCACGTATATGTGTACATTACTTTTTAATAAGTAATATTGCGTTAAGCACAGCAATAATAATGCCTTTCTTTACGTCGTCATCGACTCTTTCTTGGACATGTATGTTTGTTTATTTCGGTTTTGCGCTCTGATATCTGTGTGACGAGAAAGAGAGAGTAATGGAGACAAAGAGACAACGATCAACGATTGCACAAAGAAATCGTCCGAAAACAGAAAAAAAAAAAAAAAAGAAACATCATCTCCCCTACCTTTCCGGACACGACAAGCATCACCGCCGCCGCCCCTGCTTCATGTCGTTGTGTTATAAACACTCCTCTCTCTGCTAGTCCAGCTTGCCCAGCTCATTCATACGCTCGATTGCCTTCCCGCGGGTTCCCTGCAGCTCATCCCGCCAAATCAAGTTCATCTGGCTTGCTGGTTTCAGCAGCAGCTTTCCCGCCAAAACAAACACATCGAGAATCGGATAAGTTCATCCAGCTTGCTGGTTTCCCGCCAGCTTTCCCGCCAAAACAAAATCATCTAGAAAATCGGACAAACTTTACACAAAAAACACAACACAAATGGTATCACCCCACCGTCCGTCGCCCACCCCTCCTTTACGTAACGTTAATTGTTCAGAGACCTTTCCCTCCTCTCCCTCCTCTCCCTTCTATTCCAACTTGTCCAGCTCATTCATACGCTCAATGATTGCCTTCTTGCTGGTTTCCTGCAGCTCTCCCGCCAAAATGAACTCATCTAGAATCAGATACACTTTGTGGAAATTGAACACCAGATCCAGCTCACACACATTGCTGAAGAAGTGGTCCAGGATCTCCACAAAAAGGTGGATACTCTCCAAGTACGCGAGCTCATTGTCCGTAACATCCACACACATGGAGAAGAAGAGACCGGCATAACGACGATAAATCACTTTGTGCGTACGGAATTCGACGAAATTGGTAAATTTCGGGTCCCGATTGACAACTAATCGATGAACCTCATACTCGAGCTTGTGCTTTTCTGAATCCTCAAGAGGCACATAGTACTTGGCCAAACGTGTCTTCCCCTGACGATTCTGCAGAAGAATGAATCGAATCATTCTGTCAGGAGGGCAACAGACGGAAAAGGGGGAAGGGAGAAGACGGAAGGGGTAAGAGAGGTGGAGGAAGGAAGGAGAACCGTAAAGCCTCCTCGAGATTCGGATCGAATTAGCGACCACCACCGTGAACACCGTACACACGGCGTCACAAAGTGCCGATCGGCGACAGGAAAGCGGTGAGCGATCAAACGACGACCCAGCACGTCGACGCCCAATCTGCCCGCCCGACGAAGAAGAGAGAGGAGGAGGTGAAGAACGGACGGATGCGAGAAGGGATCAGTGAGAGAAGTCGGACTCTACCTCCCTCTCGGGCATCATCGAGGAGCGCCACGTTGATTAGCTGGGGAACTCCACCGAGCTTTTTTTTGTTTTTTTCTTGGTTTGGGAAAATTGCATCTGTACCCCGTGGTGTGTTGGGGAGCACGGAGTTATGCTCATACCCGGAAACCGGGCAGGCAAAATTGGGTATGCACATAATTTGCCCGGTATGCGCATCATTTGATAATTCTTTTTTTTTGTTTTTTGAAAACTATACTCTTCTCTCAATTTTTCCTCACACTACCTACCTACCACTACTCCTACCTATAGGCATACGGGGAAACCCGTAGCATACCAGAGCCGTGTTCTTACGGCCCCTCGAGCCTGCAGGATACCGGCCAGGGGACGCCCGGTAGCACCTGGGATAAAGCGGACCAATCCCCCGTGCCTCCCCTCAGGCCCCTCCCCTACGAACATAGCAGACTCTGCTTGATGCCGATCGGGGGATCCAGTGGTCTATCTCTTGGGTAGGTTGGGTATAAGGGTCTCGTTAGACACTCCTAAAAGTTCCTGTTTTTAGGAATTTCGAGATCAAAAATGTGAAAACGGCGTTAGGACAAGTCCTAAAGGATTTAGGATTCCCCAGGCAAAATCGTCCTAAATTTTCCAGTAGCCCCCGACCTACTGAAAAATTTAGGATTCCCGTTTCATGGACTCGATGCATAGCCCGCATGGCACCGTCGCCACGGGGTTGCTGGTCCAGGAGCGGTCCCTAGGGTGGGTGGCCGGACATCGGAGGTTTTCTGCGGGTCGAGGCCGGCAACGGCCACCAGCGGTAGCCGTTGGCCGACAGGGTGCAGCGCGGGGGGGGCAACCGTGGGCGGGCTGGCGTCCGTAGTGGACCGTTGGCTCGGTTGCGGGTGACGGAGGAGGACGACGACGTGCGCGGGACACCGTACGGAGGCGTTTGGGGCGGTGCGCGGGCGGCAACGGTCGATTTTCGAATCGCAGGCAGGCAGCTTTGTCGTCTTCTGTGCTGGTTGTCGGCATATGAAGGTCGATCGGCCCTATCCCCCAGCATGTCGGAACAGTCTTCTGCAGTAGTCGCGTGCGAGGGTAGCTCCCGAGGTAAATTTCATGGCTGACGTGCAGAGGAGATTGCCTCTGCTCGTACTCGCTGTCGTCGTGTTCCTCATCGTCGTCTTCCTCCACGTGTGTTTGTTGTGGCGGCCGTGGAAACAACATCGCAAGAGGAGGGCTTCAACGAAACGGGCGGCAGTGGAACGTCCGATGGCGGGCATGCAGGCACGCGTAGGTGTTGGTGCAGGTCAGGGTGGAAGACGACCTCCGTCTGCGGAGCCTCCACGGCGGTACGACCCATCTTTGTACCGCCATCTAGAGTCATGGGAGACGCCACTGCCCCCGTCGGACGAGGACCCGGAGACGGAAGAACTTCCAACGTTGCCTCTTGCCAGTCGGTCGACGCAGCTGTTGTCGCAGACGGTGCGAGCATGCGGGTCGGCTAGCAACGAAGGCGGCGAGTTCACCTCACTGTTGCACCAAGGCTTGGGAAACGACGACGACGGAGGACTTGATCTCAGGTTCGGGTTGCGTTCTGGCGGCGCTAGGAAGGCGAGCCGCACGTTCATCATCGACGTCGATCCTTCACCACGTGGCGTTCAACAATTTGGAAGTCAGCATACGGAGCACTTTACACTTCGTGGCGGTGCGTCCGTTACTGGCAGTGTCGGGCCATCGGCAGCAGGCCGGCAGCATGGATCAAGTGCACCGTTCGTCGATCGATTGACAAGTACCTGCCCCGCACGCAATGGAGTCGCAGTCGGGTCTCTACGCAACGGCGGTGCACGTCCTTCGATACCCAAAAGCATAACGCCGACCCAACCCGACCTCAGGGACGACGGCACGTGCAGACCAGCGGTGCGTCCAACACCCACTGTGGAGAACATCACACGAGGAGTATCAAACAGGCTGGCACACAGCGATGGTGGTGACGACGATGGTGGTGGCGATGACGATGCCGACGAACGATTCAGGGAGGACGTGGAAGCAGGGGACGACGACGACGACATTCCTATTCGGCCTTTGGGGAAGACGGGTGGGAGGGGGAGAGGACGCAGCAGAGGTGTTGTTCGTGGTCGATCCGTTGGTCGTGGGGGCAGAGGTGGCGTCATCAACGACGGCGGGAAGTCTGCGACGTACTGGTCCCCGGAAGAGCAAATGCAACTGGTGAGATGCAAGCGGGAGCAAGAGATGCACCTCGTCGGTCTGGGTCACAATTACGGGCGAATGCGGACCAAGAAGTGGAAGTGGGACGACATTGCCAAGCGCATGGCAAATGCGGGGAGGCCTAAAGACGCAGAGGACTATATAACCGTTATCGCCTAGCAGGTAACCTTGCGTGACGACACCGTGCGACAGATTCTCCAGAGGTGAGTCGAACAGCTCACCAGCTTCTGCACGCCTCCACAGTTGGGAATTGTGCAGGAAACAACCGTCGTGCACACTTCCCGTGTATCCGATGTGGACGTCGAGGATCCGCAGATCCAAATCCACCACCACCTGCGCCTGCACGGAGAACTTCTGTTTGCGGTCGTAGTAGTTGTATGAAGGTGCGCCGGCGGGCTTGTCAATATAGATGTGTGTACAGTCGATCGTGCCGAAGCAGTTCGGAAAACCCTTGTCACGGAATGCGCGCAGAATCTGCACACGTCTACGGCCAACTGGCCACTGGATCGCGTCGGGGTACACCTGCAGCAGCGCCGAAGTGACGTCGCGGACGGCCTGCAGTCCAGTTGCCCTGCCAATGCCGAAGGCTGACGTGCCGCTCTCGTACGTCTCTCCTGACGCCCGCCTGTACAACGCGAAAGCGATCACCTGCTCCACTGGCAATGACATCCTATAGTGCGTCACCTTCTTCTCCACGTACGCGGCGCACGCGGCCACGATCTGACTGAACATGGCCATCGACATGCGCAACTTCTGGCGGTAGTACTCGTCCGTCGCGTCATCACAGAGGCAGAGATCCTCCCATGTTCCGTCAGTCCGTCGTTTAATCCACCAACGCGGGGTCTGCCGTGGGAAAACGCCAGATGACAGCGCGACACACAACTGGACCACTGCCTCACACGTGGCCACGCAATCCGGCGCTTCGGCAATGTGCTGCAACAACGCTCTTCGCTTACGGAGCTGCGTCAGCATGTCGCGTGAGGACGACGACATGTCACTCATCGTGTTCACGACGACGGCAGTGACCGTCATCGCCACCGCGTTGATCTCCTCTTCGCGCAGACCGTGCCCGCTACTGCGAACGTCCATCTCTGGGAATCGTTCAGCCCTCACACCGTTGTCGAGCGCATCGGTCCGGCACCGCACGAGGCAGCGCGGGACCCTCCCGGCCGCGTCACGCAGGAGTTGGTTTAAATCTTTCGTCGTGAATAAAATGGAGCTTCCGCAAGCCGCTCCGGCCGAGTGCGCCAGCCATACCTCCCGCGCTGTCTCTTATACACATCTAGATGTGTATAAGAGACAGAACCTACCCTGCCTCAATTAGGTCATCAAAGGAAG